TATAGCAGCTCTGTTCACAATTGCCCTGAACTGGAAACAACACAAATGTTCTTCAGTGATGAATGGATCAACAAACTGTGATGCATCTATGTAACGGAATACTACTCAGTAAAGAAACAAGCTATCAATATAGTACAACAACCTGGATCAATCTCAAAGGATCTTGCTGAGCAAGAGAGGCCAGTTTTCAAAGGTTATAAGCTGTATGTATGATGATTCCATTTATATGACATTCCCAAAAAGACAAAACTAAAGTGGTGAGGAATTGTTTGGAGCTTGCCAGAATTAGGGTTTGGAGGATTGTGTGACTATAAAGGGAAAACACAGGGAGATTTTTGTTTGTTTGTTTTTGGTGTGATTGAACTGTTCTGTATCCTGATTGGAGTGGTGATGACTTGAGTCTATACATATATTAAAATTTACAGAACTTTAAAAGGATAAATGAAATTTAAAAACGATAGTTTTAGCCCTGGTTGATGTGGCTCAGTGGATTGAGTGTCGGCCTGTGAACTGAAGGGTCACCGGTTTGATTCCCAGTCAGGGTACATGCCTGGGTTGCGGGCCAGGTCCCCAATTAAGGGTGTGCAAGAGGCAACCAATCAATGTGTCTCTGGCACACTGATATTTCTCTCCCTCCCTTTCACCCTCCTTTCTCCTCTCTCTGAAAATAAATAAACAAAAATGTAAAAATTATAGTTTTATCCTTTATACTATTATTTTTATTTTAAATGCCTACCTTTCTTGTTGGACTGTAAGTTCAAAGGGAGCAGGGAGTATGTCTCTCTCCTTATCATTCCCCTTCTCCCCTGCTCCCCAACCATTGCATGGTACAATGTCTGGCACACAGTTACTACTAAATAAATATTTTTTTTGTCCTTCCTCCTCCCCACCCCCACCCACATCTTCCTCTTTTTCTCTGTATAACATTCATTTATTTAGTGTAGAATTCTTTAGCAATATACTTTCTTTTTAAAAATAATTTTATTTATTTTTTTAAAAGATTTTATTTATTTATTTTTAGGAAGGGAAGGGGTGGAGAAAGAGAGAGAGAGAAACATCAATGTGCGGTTGCTGGGGGTCATGGCCTGCAACCCAGGCATGTACCCTGACTGGGAATCGGACCTGCAACACTTTGGTTCACAGCCCGTGCTCAATCCACTGAGCTACGCCAGCCAGGGCAAAATAATTTTATAATAAATTTTATTTTAATTGTTGTTCAAGTACAGTTTTCTGCCTTTTACTCCCACCCCATTCCATCCCACCTAGTTTTTGTCCATGTGTCCTTTATACTTGTTCCTGCAAACCCTTCCCCTTTTCCCCTGAAATTCCCTCCCCTCTTCCCTCTGGTCACTGTCAGCCTGTGATTGTCTAAATAAAAATCTTGATTGGCACTTTAATGGAAAGTTAAGAGAAGTTTTGTTAGAATCTATGCGTAAGATGCTATTTTAAAATAGAAATTTCTTAACCAAGCTTTTTGACACAGTGGTATTACCGTAGATATTTCTCCTTCTTCACTTTGAACCCCTGGAAATCTGGCTGCTCTCCTACCAGTCCTCTGAAACCTCTCTCAGGCCCGGGTCAGTCTCTGTGCTGCAAGTTCAATGTGTGCACTAGAGTACCCTCTTGTCCCTGTTCTTCTCATTCCACTGTTTCCCCCGTCCTTTTCCCCATAGCTTCCATCCCCTCCTGGATTTCATTGTTGGTATAATATTTTTGTCTATGTGTTATATCTGGGCGAGGTCTTCCTTTTTTATGTTTTTTAGTCTCATTGATATGCTAGTAATTCTAAAATATAGCCCTGATCTATACCTTAAACTTACTAGTCTTATCTCCACAGATATTTAAGAGGTATTTAAAGCTAATGATGATTAAAACTGAGCTCATTATTTTCCAAAGCTTCCTCTCTTCATAGAATTCATATCTCAATAAATTGCACCATTAGTCACCCAAACCCCAAATCTAATATTTATATTAGACTCTCTTTTTCTCATCATCATATCAAATTAGACTCTAAGAATTGCTCATTTTGCTCCATGAATATTAATCAAATTTGTCTCATTATCTGTAAATTCTTACAAATATTCCAGTATGAGCTTAATCTCTCCTCTGGGCTATAACAAAAAACCTTCACACTGATTTGATTTCCTTAGATTTCACAATTTTAAAGAAATTTTTAAAAATGTAAAAGACTCCCTAAGTCTCAAATGTTTCAATCAGTAAAAAAAAGTTTTTAATTCAGTACAACTAACTTATATTTTGAAATATTTTAATGCAAGTTGCCAATCTGATACCTCATCATCTCAGAGTACTAAGTATTTCCTAAGGATATTCTTCTATATAACCATAATAGAGCCATGAAAATCAGAAATTAACATTGTTATGTTACTACATCTAATGTTTAGATCTTGTTCAATTTTTTCCAATTTGCTAATTGTGTCCTTGATAGCAAAAGCATCATGTTCAGAATTACACATTACATTTAGTTTTGATGTCTCTTTAGTTTCTTTGGTCTGGGACCATTCTTCATCCTTTATTTGACATTCATAATCTTAAAATTTTTGAAGAAAGTAAGATAGTTATTCTGTAGACAAATCCTCAATTTTTAAAACAAATGAGCAATTTAGATGTGTTAGGTGCTCCCTTATGATTAGATTAGGTTATGGGTCTTTGGCAGAACAGCACAGAAGTGATGCTGTGCTCTTCTCATTGCATTCTCTCAGGTGGCATGCAGTTTGGAAATGCTCTCTTACTGATGATGTTCACTCTGGTCACTTTATTCGGACGGTTTCTGCAGGCTTCTCCATTGTGAAGTTGCTCTTATCCCTTTAGGAATTAAATGTTTTTATGGGCAGTTACTTTGGAACTGTGTAAATACACTGTTCCTCACCAAACTTTAACTTATTCATTTATATCAGTAAGAATCATAGTTTCTCCTGTTTTATTTAATGGTTATAATTAATTACTATTATTATTATTTTCATGCTCAAATTGTCCCAGATTTGACAAGTGAGAACCCTTTTAAGATGGCTTCTGTGTCCATCTGTGTCTCTTTTGTTATATGTCCCCATATATAACTCTCTGAGCACTTTCTTGCTTTCAGGCATAAAAAGATATTCTAGGTTTATCTTACATTTCTCCTGACCTACCCCTGGAATCCAACCTCCCTCCAATGAGCTCTAGTTCTTTTGAGCACACACTGAAATTTGGAAACCAAGATCTGTGCGCTAGTTGTGCTCACTGATCTGAGGCTTGAGGGGGCTACTGCTTTAAGACCATCTCAAAGCAAGGAAAATGTACACTTAGTTTACTTACATTTTTTGAAATCCTTAAGTTCTAATACCTCTAATTCCAATCCATCATGAGATTCATGCTAATTTTCTTCCTTTACATATTTGTACTCCATTATCAGACAGTGAGAAAGCTGGCTCCCACTATCCTTAATCTGTTTACTTCCTCCGTCTCATGGTATGCTTCCAGTCTTCCACCACTTCCTGTTCTCTACCCCCAACCTGGATGCCCCCTCCCATCCTGCTTGGGCTTTGACACGCCACACCAGGTTGGAAGAGTTGCCAGATTTAGCAAATGGAAATACAGATCCTTAGCTAAATTTGAATTCCAGAAAGCAACAAATAATTTTTTTAGGAATATATTTATACTAAAAGTATTTTTCATTTATCTGAAATTCAAATTTAACTGGGCATCCTGTATTTAATCTGGCAACCTATAATCTGATCCTTCGCTTGGACCCCCTTCTTCCCAGCTCAGGCTCTGAAACCCAGCTTTGAATTTTTCCAATGTATGGATTCATTCCTTACCCCACTCGGGCTCTGAGCCCTCTGATACCAGGCCATCCACTCCATGTTAAAGCCTTCCTCGGTTTGGGCTCTGACATCTCATGCAAAGTTGCTCCTGAACACAGATGCCCTTTTACCTGCTTAGGTTTTAATACCACTTGCCAGGCCACCTTTCTGTGAATCCTCTTTTTATTCTGCTTGGGCTCCAACAACCAGTGCCAGACCATCCTGCTAGATGCCTTCCTTACCTGTTCGGATTCTGATACTCCATGCCAAGCTTCTCCCTCCCACCCCAGGTGGATGATGTCCTCGTCTTTCTTGGGCTCAGATCCACCTACTGACCATCTCTGCATGAACATTCCTTCATCATGATATGTCTCTGATCCACCAAGCCTGACGTGATGCAGGGTCACTGATTCACTCCATGAGGGCTCTAACTTCCCATACAAAACCATATTCCAATGCAGACAGCATCCTTATCCGGCTCAGGCTGTCTCCCTATGCCCACTTCACTGTGTATAGATGCCCTGTCATCGTACTTAGGCTCTAACCTATCACGTCTGGCTGCCCTCTGTGTGGATGCTTACCTCATTCTGACCTACCTTATAGCCTTAGGACTGAATGTTTCAGGAAGAGAAAGAAAAGGGGAAAAGGAAGAGCAATACTTTGCACTTTGATTCAAATAAACCAAGGGCAGAAATGTTAGAGTGGAGTCACCCCAGAAGTGGCATTATGAAAAAATTGTCCACTGGTTTCTTTAACACAAAGCATAATATGCCCCTTACATTCCTCCAAGTATCCTATATTCCAGGTAATTATACTTTTGGATTCTATGCTCTTATGTTTCGAAAAACTAAAAATAATTAAATCAAACATTTTTTTCTACTTTTATCTTTTGAATATTTGGGGAGAAAACTGTTGAACATTTGCTACTTTACAAATATCTTGCAATATCTTATCTTTTAGAGTAGCATTTTCAAACAAGCTGCTATTTCAGGGCTTGATTGTAAACCCTTTTCAGGGGATAGCTACTAGTTTCATTTCTTCTTTCAGACACTCTGGCATGACCTCAGGGGCAGGGAGAGAGGTAGGAGAGGGCAGAAAAGGCTTTGCGATTTAAAAAGCTCTAAAAATGGTACTGTTTCAACCCTCTTTAATAATATGATACTATTCTGGTCAAAGAAACAAAATTTAGTGTTCAACATTTCACTTTTCTCATCATCCTATGCACTATGGGTTGTTTTCATGTTAAAGTCATTTTCTTTGTCTTACTGCATAGAAAATCTGTGCATCTGTCCTCTGAGCCACACTGCGTGCAAACTAGTCCTGCTTTATAAGGCCTTCTTGTCCGAGTTCCTCTACAAAAAAGCAGAAAACATTTAGTTAGAAAAAGCCTCAAATTGTATGTTATTAAAATAATATGGTTATCATTTTTTGTTAGGTTATAAAGGTGATTTAATTAAGAATAAGGACTCAAGGAAGTACTTAAATTGGAGATGCAATCTTCCCTTCCCACTTCACTTTTTTCCCACTGAAAAGTCTCTTCTTAAACTTATTTTCATATCCTTAAAACAAAATAGTATAACTTAAATATGATTGGGTTTTAAAGCATCTTTCATCTTAGTTTGCCGCAAAGTTTTCCTTTAAAAATGGATGTTACAGAATGTTTTGTAATTAACTACTTTCTGGTTGGCACAAATGTATAAAAAGTTCTAAAGAAATGATATATTAATTTTCTGAAGAGTATGCAATATCTTGAAATGTTTATTGTCCCAAAGACCTAGTTGCATGACTTACTTAGAGGTCTACATGAAAAATACATAAATATGTGAACAAGCAAATAAATATAAATGGAATTTTACAAAGTTGTTTTAACCATTGTTTAGAGCAGAGGGGAGAAGTGAGAAATTACTATGTCAATTGCCCAAAGCTAAGTAAGGAAAAGAGGCCCCAAAGTAGATATGATTTGGGAAGCTTGTATAAAAGACCTAGGATAGGAAAGAAGAAGTAGTTAGGAAAAAATATTTTTGAGTGAGGGGTGGGTCATTAATATTGGTCATTTAAACAGGACCGCTTATTTACTGTGTGCACTGGAAGCTATAAAAACAAACATTAGGCCTGTAGGTCTCCGGAACTTTTCTTAAACTCATATCTGGTTGTACCTTCAGCATATCGCCACCTACAGGACATGTGTCTAGGCCCTAGATAAGGACACATTGCCTGGCTTGCCTAATGGATAATATACCCATGTCCAACCCAAAGTGCATTAGAAAGCCATTATTCAAATTTTATAATAGAAGTCTTCTGTTCCAGAAGGAGAAACTTGCTTACACTATACCCATTTCTGTCACTACCTTGTTCATGAGGAAGGCAATTCAGTTTCATGGATTGACAATCTAGCAATTATAATTTGTAAGCAGATTTTTCTCAAAGTTTCCACGTACAGACTCACATAGTTTGTACATAGTCCATAGGACAATGGCAAGAGAAGGTCAACAGATGTTGATCTTTCCATGTCATCGTTACAGAATAGTTACACCATGCAAACAATAACCACTTTCACTACTTCTGCATATCATTGAGAAATACCACAATGCTGGCTTCTTGTTTACATCTGGACACCTACAGGTTTCCCAAGCAGATTCAAAGAATCTATTCCAGTAAGCTAGAGAAAAATACAATGCAATAAGCAGCGAGGAAGATTATATTTTAGAGAGCCTATCTGGTTCTCCTTTTGATACATCTAATATATTTGTATTTGCCAAAACTTTATGATCACTTCCTAGATTTATTCAAGGTCGAGGAAAGCATGGATCCTTTCATTTTCTACTCAAATTATCCCTTTGTGTGCAAAGCTATGTGACTTTGTGTCACTTTGGGTAAAACTGAGTTGGTCACATCTCCTCCTCTTCAACATCTTGGAACTAAATGGCTAGGGACCACAGTCAAACATTGACAAAGTTCCTTCAAGGCTGATATTTTGCTGTACCATCCTCTAATCCTCCCAGAGACACTATCTTCTTTCTGATCATGCTTTCTTACTCATTTTGGTGCCTGGCTCACAATTTCCCTTTCAGCCAAAGTATTCCCATTGTCTTAGAATTTGGGACCTAGGTGATTATAATTGCTTACAGGTGATTGGTCCAATAACCTGATCTCTCTCTTACTGGATGTCTTCACCATCACAACACTTCTAAATACTCTGTAATTGTTGTATTTGTAGCTATACTCCAGACCTTGTTATCCCCTAAATTGCTTCACCTCTGAACTCACAAAAATCAAACATTACTCTCACTGACTGCAGCCTCTTATCCTTCCTGCTTGCTCACTTACTTACTTGTCCATTAATTTCACTGGTACTGCAAGTCTATTTTCTCCCAATCCATCCTGTTATCTCTTCTCTGTCTGGATTAGGTCTTGACATATTCTAATATTTGCATATTTGGCTAAAAACCTGAAACCCTCTTGCACTATTTTTCCTTTACACCACCTAATCGAACCCCAGGGTTGGAAAACATGAGGTCATTTCACTGTCTGAATATTCCATGTCTGCTTCAGGGCACTGGGTGCTGCTGGAGAAAAATCATTAAACTAGGTAAAGAATCTTTCTACAGTTCCTCAGTCAGATTTCTCTCTCATTTTCCATAACTATTTCAAATCTTTCCAATCTTCAAAACTCCAGCGTCACCATCTTCCCCTTTATTCTCAGAACATTATCTATCTTACTTTACAGAGAAACATAATGGCCCTTAGATTGGAACTTGAGAAAATTTTTTCACTAATATGACAAATATTCCCACCCCATCTTTCCTTTTTTTCTGATAAAACTGAAGAACTTCTCCTTCTTTCTAAGGTTATACCTCTATTATTGATAAAGAATTGCTTTTATTCTATATTAGATACTTCATGCCAATATCTAAATATACTCACAACATTCCCATTTTAAAAACAAAACAAAATAAAACCAACAACAAACAGTCCTTGATTCATTCCAACCTGGATCACTTTCCTCTACCCCACACCAGTGGCTCTTCCTATGTTTATAAATGAACTGCTCTTTAAATCTGATATTTTTAAATCTTTACTTTGCATGACCTCTTAGAACTTGCAATGTTAGACAAACCTTCCTTCTGAAAACATTTTCCCCATGCCTACTATGATATACTCTTTTCGTTTTTTTCTTCTATCTGTCTGGCCACTCTTAGGTGGCCCCTGCCATTTATTTTCCTCTAACTGCCCTTGACTGTTGGCATGATAGTCTAGAGGCCCTCCTCCCTTTGCACTCTGTGCGCTCTCACAGACAATCCATCTACTCCCATGATTTCAATTGTCACTGGCACTCCAAATATTTGTTCTATGCCACGCCTCACTCGAGAGCTTCTGATCCATGTAACCACCTGCTGACTAAACATCTCAAAGTGAATATTTCACAACCGACTCAAATTCGTTATGTCCCAAATGCAACTCATTATTTTCCCTCCCAAAAGGTTTAGTGTTCCTCATTGCAGTTAACAGTGACACTATTTATGACTGAGTTATAAATCTGAGAATCTTCTTTGACTATTTCTTGTCTCTCATTATTTCATACAATGATGTACAAATCCTGTTATTTATACCTTCTAAAATGTGTTAAATACATCTCCAATATCATTCCAGATATCCTTTGTTGCTATAAAAGTAAGTAAGTAAATAAATAAAGTAATACATGTATAATATTTGTAAGTATATGGTAGATGGAGGAAGCAGAAAAAGCAACCTTAAACAGGAAAAAATGCTCTGGTTAGTGTGGCTCTGGTTAGTGTGGCTCAGTGGATTGAGTTTACAGGGGTGGCCCCTGTGAACCAAAGTGTAGCTCATTTGATTCCCAGCCAGGGCACATGCTTGGGTTGCAGGCCAGGTCAGGTGCCCAGTAGGGGACCTGCAAGAGGCAACCATACACTGATGTTTCTTTCCCTCTCTTTCTCCCTGCCCCCTGCCCTGCTCCCCCTCTGTCTAAAATAAATAAAATTTTTTAAAAAAGAAAGGAAGAATGTCTCCATGTTACACTTTTCATCTGCTTCTCAAAGATAACTTCTTTAACAGCTTCTCTGATTTCTTCCAGGAAAAAAGTTTTTTACAAAAATTCTTAATACTTCTATATTTGTGATAGAAACAGCTAGTTGTAAATTTAAATATCTCTTGAAATACTGAAATAAAAATATGTTAACTCAGCAAATAAATGGCAAGCTGTATTTCCCAACTTCTCTTGTATCTTAGATGTGGCATATGACCAGTTTTCCATCTAATGTAACGGAAGTAGCAGTGACGTGCACCACTTCCCATCTGGTGCTTTTAGAGATGGTCAAGATGCCAACATGTTTCTCTTCCCTTACTATAAGCTAGCTCATAATGCTAGCTTATAGTTGGAGGCACTGGAGTCCGTCCATCTACCCCGGCTTCTCTACAGTATTATCAGAAAATCCTCCCAGCTTCACCATTACTGTGAAAGCAGAGGCTGGAGAAATTGATAAAACTGTCCACACAACCCTCAGCTTTACATATAGTGAAAAATACCCAGATAAAACCCCCTCTATGAAATATTCCCCCAGGAAAATCTAGAAGATAATAACGTCTCAAGTGTTTTAAAATTAATAGTGTTACAGGCAGAAGAAAACCTTGGTGTGGTGATGATCTTTAATGGCAGCTGTGCAAGAAAAATTAAATGAAATAGTAGATCAAATAGAAACTAGAAGATAAGGAAAAGAAACAAAAAGAAAAAGAAGCAGAAGAAGCTGAAAAACAATTATTTCACGGCACTCCTGTTACTATTGAGAATTTCTTAAGTTGGAAAGCTGAGTTTGATGCAGAACTCTTGGAAATTAAAAAGAAAGGGATGAAAGAAGAACAAGTGGGAAAAAATAAACTAAGTGGGAAACAGCTATTTGAAATATTATAGATCATCATCTTGACACATCTGATAGCCAATTCTTGGAGAATGCTGGAAACAATGTGGAGGTAAATGAGTTTTTGTTCCAGGAAATGAATGACTTGGAGCTGGAGGATGATGCAGATGATCCTGGTGACCCAGCAAGTGACTTCACCAACTAACAGACTATCCCAGTTTGCAGGGGGACTTGACTGCCACAGTATCTGTGGTTCTGCTGAGAGGATGTTGATTTTCCTCTTTTTTTTCTAAGAAAAAATAATTCAGAAGAATATTCTTTTGATAGCTTTCATCATGGAATTTAATAAACCGACTTTAAGTTTAAAAAAAAAGAAGAGAAGAGGAAATCCAACAATTCTGACAAGACTACTTGGAAGCCAAGTAAAGAACATAAGGCAAGATGCACAAGCTGGTAAACTGTGAGATGCTCCCAAG